TGCGACCCCTCCCCGGTCGACACACCATGTTGTAGGCGGTTTTCAAGCCCTGCCCCTGCTGGGTATGCAACCCTCCGTAGAGCGGTCCCCACGCGGAGTAGGCTTGGGCACCACTTCTTAAAAGTGTCCTATGGGTATGTACTACATACCCTCCAAACGGTTTTTCTCTACGGTAAAGTGAAAGGTCGGATGGCTTAACAAGCGTACTATCCGGCAGCAGGCCTTCACGCATCGTAATGACGCTTACAATGAGACCAGGGGTCCAAAGGCCTGCCGGTGTGTCAGAATTTCGTGAACCAACTATACTTGCGGGCGGGTTGCCTTCTCGCTCGGCCCGTAAGGCACCGTGGACAGGGGCGATAGACAAGCCCGCCCGCCCTCGTGCGTGGGGTACAGTTACAACTACAGAATTGCGCGGGGTTAATCAGCCAACTGTTACGTCAATACGACCCTGGTCGGCAGCGGCACTTACCTCCCGGCGCGCGCGCTGCTGCCCCGGGGAGTGCCCCAGCGCCTCCTCGATGTACGCCCGCTCGGCGGCCGAGATGCCCCGCTGCTGCGCGGGAGAGTCCGCGACGAGGAGCAGCCACAGGACGCACCACGCCAGCGACAGACCGCCCATCACGTAGAACACCGAGGCCCAGCCCAGCGCGCCGGCCAGGACCCCGGACAGCAGCATGGACACCACCGTCCCCAGCGCCGTGCCCGCGTAGATGACGGAGGACAGGACGCTGCGCTCGTCCGGAGGCGCCCACTTGGAGATCATGACGTGCATGGCGGGGAAGGTGAGCCCCTGGAGACAAGAGGAGACTGACGCGAATTAGGCTGGGCGGAAGAGGCCAGCTAAAGGCGATTCAGTTGATTCAGTAACGCCATCGATTTCGCTTTGTCGCTGGGATCGCAGCACGTACCGCGCCAAGTCCCTCGCCGATGCGCATGGCGAGCAGGGCGCCGGCGTGCAGCGCGGCCGCGGGCGGCGTGAGCAGCGTGCACACGGCGTTGACGAGCACCGCGGCGAACATGACCCACTTGGCGCTCAGCAGCTCCGCCATCCGGCCTCCGGGGATCTGCGTCACCATGTAGCCCCAGAAGTACGAGGCCAGGATGTAGCCCTGCGTCGTCTCACTCCACTCGAACGGGCCGTCCTCCTGTGCGGTCAGAATGCATGAGGTGAGTTGGACGAGAACGAGGGGACATACATGCTGATTTTGAGATGACTGACCAGACTCTCGGTGGGGCTGCCAGGGTCCGACGAGCAGGCGGGCGCCGCCGGGGAGTCTGCCGCTCCCGCGCGATCCGCGCCGCCCTGCGCCAGGGCCGCCAGGGCCGTGTGGTTGACCATGGCCACGATGGCCACGCTCAGGTTCACCTTGAGGCCGTAGATGATGGCGAAGCCGATGGAGCCGAGCACGGCGAACACGTACCGCGCGGGCACCATCCCTGCGCCAGAGTGGGACACGACCGTCTCACGCTGCGGCTCCTCAGCCGACTGGGAGCCTGACGCAACCCGCGCAACACTTGTGCCCGTGAGCGAGCAGCAACCCCCGGGCGCCTGACTTGAGGAGGGGGGGGGGGGGTGAGTCCCTTGGGGCGGGTCGGCGCACGCGCTCATATTAGTTGCACCGGGTTGCATCATTATGAAGGTGAAAGGAAATGTATATATTTGTTTTGGTATTTTTTAGGAGGTGGGTTAGTGGACTAATGGACAGGACATGTTACGCGTATTCCATGAGAATTGCATCAGGGTTATTTTAGGTGGGTGCAAAATAATTTCCTCGTCTAGATTGGTCAAGGCCTTAAAATTAATGATAAGCAAGTGTAAGAAACGCAATCTAGGCGGTGAAATGAGTCTCCCAAACAATCAGCACATGCTTTTGATACAGGCGCTTTCTGAAACTCACTCTTTACTTGAACTCAGAAAGCTGTCGCAAACTTCTGTGCGTATCTGGGAGTCCGCGCCGCGGACTGCGCGGAGGACTCGTCGCGGAGACGGCCTGCTCCACACCACACTGCCTGGCCCGCCGCTCGCACGTCCGCCGATGGGGCTGACGCCAGCCTAGCCCAGCCCGCCTCGTCTCGACTGACAGTGCCCAAGTCTAAAACTGGGCGGCGCGAGCCGGCGCAGCCCCATCTCCCATCTGAGCCCTCGCGGACGGTCCGCCGCCCGCACACGCACGGGTGGGTGGCGGCCGTCGGTTTCAATACACACACACCCACCCCACCCCATCAGCCTTACGCCCTTCATAACACGCCTCCTGATGATTAGAGTATTTCAAGCGCAAACCGTCTATCAGCAGGCGAAATGCGGGCCATGTGACCATGACCTCTTCCTGTAAACGAATCCTGGATACGCGCCTGGGATACAAACATGAGACAGGTCGTCCACTGTTGGATTACGATGTGGCTCTTCTTGGCTGGCGATTCACCTCTATGGATAGTCGTTGTGTGCAGACCGCAACTTACCATGCAACGTTTCAGATGAGTGTGGCGCACGTCCTCCCCCTGTCGCTGATGCCACTTCACTCGGACCCTTCCGCTTCCCTCCCGGGCTGCTCGTAGCGCTCCGGCTTGAAGGTGACCCCTCAGTCCAGGAGGAGATCCCGCGCCTGCGACCCGCAGCCCACCCCCTGTTGCTGTGGCGGCCGCCTCAGTGGAGGGGGAGGACGGGTTGTGGTTGGGTGGAGTCGGGGAATCGATCCCCCTACCCGGGAGAACAGAGGGAAGCCCAGCATCCTTCTGTCAAATTTATTTAAAAAAAATGAATCTTGGTTACTCACGCAACAATCGTTGACACGGGCTCGATGGAAGAATTTCACCAGATACAGCTGGGATCACGGGAGTGGGTTCGGAAAAGAGGACCTCAAGCTTCAATAAGTGGTAAAACAAGGGGCACTGCACATCTCTCCCTGCGTTGTAGGTCTCATAGCAGTTCAATGTATGGTATGAGGCAAACATATGGCTCTTCTCAACCCTCAAAGAAGGGGCATGGCTCAGGAAACTTTTTGAATGAGAGCAAGTATAACAAGTTGTACTCAAGGAAGGTACGGTGGATCACATTCCCAACCATGATTTTATTACATGGATTCATCGTTTCAAATAACAGAAATTTCAACAACTACTTACGGGGACCTGTGCAACAGGACCCACAACTGTTATGGAACAAAAGGTTTGCATAAAACAATAACAATAAAAGTTAAAAAACATAACACTGAATTATAAATTCCATTGTGGTAACGGGTTGTATAAATATGTAAAATATTTGGTTTTCAACTAGCTGAATGATTTTGAACTAGGTTACGATCTTATAAACTTTAGCTAGATTCCTCAAAATCTTCCACCTGGAGGTTAGAATGATAAACGTGCTGCATGTTTGTTTGGACAGTATGCAGAATATCATGAAATTTTCTCTTCCAAGCAGAGCTAGACTGCATTGACACACACCTAATTTTAAAAAAACAAAACAAAGAAAATACATGATAATTATTATAAGGGTTTCTTTTTTTCATTCATTTTCATTTAAAAACATGATAAAATGCACAAAATTGTATCAGAGCTAAAATAGTTTTGTGACAAAACTTAAAACTTACCTTCTAAAAAATTTGAAAATGATGAAAAGATCATCAATATTTTTTTCATGAACTAGATCACATAAATAGTGTTCTAAAATATGAACATCACATGGTTGTGGTTCTGTCTCAAAAGACACCCACTCCCTTATAATATTCTTAACATCTGTTGACTTTGAAATAAAAGCTCCCAAAATGGACTTTTTTCTATAACAATACGGAATCTGGAATCATAAAGAATTCTTGTACACTCAAAATCAATACGAGGGAAAAGGAGAAAAATATACTATTTTTTTTCCAAGTAAACGGAGAATTAAAAATATTTAGTAGAGCTAAGACAGACCTCGTAAGCATGAGATGGACCAGGCTTTGCATCGTCAAGATGTGCAATCAGTTTTAGTTTCTTCTCTTTTTCCTTTTGATCTTTCCGTAGCCTGAAGTCATTCTCCAATTCTTTGCGCATATCACTAGGCAGAGCTTCCAAAAAGGTAGGGTCCACCTGTACATTTAAAAAAATGTTAGCAAACTGATTCAAACACTTTCATAATGTTTTTTTGAACTACAGTATGTAACACTAGAGAGATTCAAGCACCTGAGAGTAGGAAACGTCCATGTTTGCACACAATGAGGTGTTCCCATGTAGCTCACTGGTCTTCCCAACTTTAACATTGTTAGTGTGTATAGAACTACTAGAACCATGGCTCACACCATTCTTAGTATCAGAAGAATATGCCTCAAGTACTTCATTTCGGATGTCATCAGGCAAAGCCTCCAGAACTTCCAGGTCCAGATCATTTGCTGGAGGAAGTTTTGTAACATCATCCTTGCGTGTTGTCTTCTTCTTAGCCTTCATAAATTTGTCTATACCTACAATACCTTTGACTGCCAACATTTTACTTTTTCTAGGTGATATTTTAGACAAAGTTGAATTTTCTTTTGAAGTGGTTGGTTGGTCAGTCAGTTTTGGTGGTGACTTTGAAATAGGATTTGAAACATTTTTGAGGATAAACTTATCTAAACCACCTGATGAGGTACTAATTAAGCTCTCAAGGCGTGATATTTGAATACCAATCCCCCTCAAATCGCATGGATTTACATTCAATTTTTTCATCATTTGTAATACCTCTCTGTCAAATAAAGAAAAATCTTCTTCATCAGCCAGTTAGCACAAATATGGTCAAGATCTTGACCTGAGTCAAGGTACATACCCTGCTATGGTGTCAGCATCACAAACAGGCCGTGAAAGAGTAGAAGATCTTGTGATGTTATCACAGACACCGTGACCCATAAATTTAGCGGTTTCGGTTGGAGCATTCTTTGCCCTGATCTGAAATTAAATGTTTTATATTGCTGGAAGATTTGAGGGAAAAAAAATCAAAAGTATAGATATTTGCAAGTGTAATTTGAGTACCAGTAGTTTTAAAGTGATGCAAGACCCTTTAACTTTTGCTTCAGATAGTCGTGTTTGAACCTCGCCTGATAGCTGATGGATGAATGCATCTGCCTCCTTCTCAGTTTTGAAGCGAATTCCATAATTGACCTCTGCTGATACTGATTTTCGTTGGTGTTCAAAATTTAGAGGTCTATCATCCTGCCCACGGCAAAGCCTATGAAGAAATCACGACCATGGAGTGTGTGCAAACAAAGATTATCATATTCAAACGAGATTTAAAACTATTAAACAAATTAAGCTTTACTTGTACAGGAGGGCTCCAGTTTTATCTCCTAGCTCGGTTACTTCAGCCTTTGGTAGATTTTGAAGGTCTCCACAAGTAAAGACACCCTTTGAATGTAACCGGCTTGTCATTGTACGGCCAACACCTGGAAAATAAAATCAGTAAGTTGAAACCTGATTGAAAAAATAAAATTGAGCAAGATAAGGTGAACTCTTGCCTGGGAGATCCTTCACTTCCACTGCCTTCATAAACTCCACTGCTAATGATGGCTCCAAGTGAAACATTCCATCAGGTTTGGCTTTGCGAGTAGCAAGTCTAGCCAGTAGACGGTTTGATCCAAAGCCAGTGGATGCTGTACACTGAGTTTTTTCCTAGATGTGAGAAGGTTTATTTAGACAAAAGGAAAGTACCTTCACACAATACCTTCAATCACAATCTGAGGTTGTAAGAAATCAATATGTTACCTTTATTTCTCTTCTTAAAAATGCACCAAACTCAATTGGTGTACATTCTGTTTTTCGTAAGACTTCTGTACAGTCAACAAACATTTCATCACAACTTACAGCTTCAATATCAGTTGTGTAACTGAAATAAGAGGATCATTTCAGCCAGATTAAACACTAAGAGAGTTTTTATTCTTTCTTTACTTAAATTCAATCTGTAGTCAAAAGTTTATGTTTTACCTTGCTACTGTATTGTATAATGATTTTGCTACTTCATTGTATCCATCAAAGTCATAAGGAATCACCTTCAGATCAGGACAGAGTTTGAGGGCAGCTCCAACAAACATTCCATTCTTTAGACCCTTTTGGCGTGCTTCATAACTGCATGATGCAATTTCTGCCATTGAATCATTTTCGTCTATGCCATTCATCCATGCAACCCTGTCTTGAAGTGCTCCATCATCATCTAAATTGCTTTTATTTTTGAGTTTCGATTCCAACCTTTCTTTGTACAGATTAAATTCAGATTTTCTATCAGAACCAGTGTGAGCAATTGCTCCATTCCCTTTAGAATGTGTGACAGCAACTGGTTTCCCTTTTAAATGAGGATATCTGCGAAGGCCAACTGACACAAAAAAACAATCCATGTCTATGTGCATAATTATCTTGCCATTGACTGAGGCTGCAGGTTTAAAGTTATTATCTTCCAAACAGTCTTCAAAATCATCCTCCTCTTCAAATGTGGTGGGTTTCCTGCATGAATTAGTTTTCTTCCAGTCTCTCAAACGCTTCAGTCCAGAGAATTCAGATTTCTTCTGGCGCAGCTCTAATACAAACTGTTTGAACATGGCACCCATTGTAGAAATATGATGCAGCCTCGAGTTATTATAAAACTCTGACAAAAAATTAGGATCAGTTGCACACCTGGCATTGTTGTTTGATTTGCTTGTTTCTGCTTTAGGGTCTCTTTCACTCAATTCTGTCTCAGTGCTTTTATTTGCCCTACTGTCGCTTGATTCTGCTTTAGGGTCTCTTTCACTCAATTCTGTCACAGTGCTTTTATTTGCCCTAATGTCTTCAGGAGATGCAAAGAGATCTTCACTATCATAACCAGCATCATCAGCTTTACAATTACTGTTTTCAAGCATAGCAGAATCTTCATCTTGCTGGACAGTATCATGGCCCCCAAGTTCAATGGGAAGTTCATGGTCTTTTGAAGTTGAAGTTGATGCTGCCGGACCAGCAAAAGAACGTATAGATGGTTGAGTTTTTGATTGATGGCTGTACAAGAGATATGGTCTAAAGTCAACTTGAAGACTAGCGTTGAGACAAGCAGTGATCCATTCTGGCTTAACAATATTTATGTGAAGATTCTTGAGCTGCTTTATTTTGACATCAGGCAAATTAGAGGCAATGATGTGAGTGGTGTGTTGAGTGCTGAAATAGTGGTGATAAACACCACCATTGACCATCATAATGCGCTTTATTTCATCAGCACTTGGAACTATATCAAACAGAGAAAATGGATTAATTATGTATTTTTATATAAATAGTCAAGATGAGCAGGTTGACACTCAGATGATTACTTTACCTGTGTAACCATTTACAAAAACTGATACACCTTTGAAGATATCAGTCGTGTCACTATGCTCCTGACCTTGTTTCTTTGCTTGCTCTAAAAATTGTCCATGTAATTTGCTTTTTTTCGCATTCATATAACCACCCTGAAAATAACATTTTGAGGTTCATTTGAAATTGGAGCGAATTTTCGTTTAAGTATGAAATCGTATTAGTCAAAACATTTAAAACAGCTTGTTTTGCTATATTTTCATGAAGGTTATGGAGTTTTTTCTCACCCATTCTTCGAATCCATTGTCTCCACCGATTTCTGCTCGCTGTCGTTTCTTATTCATTTTTTTCTGGTTAGTTCACCTATGTGCATATAAACGACTGACGTTGACGTAAACAATATTTTCCCATCGAAAACCGTTGTAACGTGTATTTGTTTTGCTTTCAGATTCCGCCAAAAAAACAAACAACAGGAGTGAAGTGGGGGGGGGGGGAGGGGTGTACCAAAACCCCAAACGCAAAACTTACTTTCGAAGATTTTTTATGATGTGTAAGGATTAAAATTTACTGTAGAACCGATACCTGAAAAGAAAATATTTAGAAGAGTAGAAATATTCTACCAGGATTCATACTACTTGTCACGTCCATTCGCTTGTCACCAACAGTTATCGCTCACGAAAATTTTTCATACGTTTTGAAAATCTGTCTGCTAGCCGCTAGTTGGTCTGCTAGTGCGTGCGTTTAACACGTTTAACAATTGATGCTGATGTCATGTTTATTGGTCAAGTCAGTTATCTCTGGGGGAGTGCACAACAACGCCAACACCTAAAGTAAACCAAGAACTAACGAGATAAGACCATTAGTCCTTTCAGTCAGCGCAACCGCAAAGTAGGCGACCAAGAAAGGAGAGGGGGCTACTACAGTTCTAGCGACCGCCGCTTGCGGCGCTAGTGTCAGCGCGCGAAAAGAGCGCGGGGAACACCGCGAACATTTAAAATTGGAGAGCGGACAAACTTACTTTTTCTACCCGTACAATTTTGATCCGCTATAAACTAGAAACGACTCAAGTGACGGCAAGAGTGAGCCGATTTGCCGATTTGGAATTCGGACAGACGCTATGATTGTTTAATTTATTCTATTTACTTTCAAAGGCAGGCGCGGTTTTATGGGGGGGGGGGCGATTGCCCCTGTTCAAAAGGAAGCTCCATTAAATAGAAATTATTATTTTGACCAATTTACGTCAATATGACGGTAGCATTGGAACTGCATTTTATGTCCCGTATAAAAATCGCTAGTCGTAAACTTCCCCCGCTGCATAAAATGTGCAGTTTGTGTCCCATCTAAAAAGCGTCAAAAACGCGTGTAGGCGGCCAAAATGCGAGTAAGTACCGGTGCAACTGTGAATAATGCGCAGCAGTGTTGCGGGTTTGCCTACCCAATTCGCCCGTACGGCACCATGGCCCCTGCAGCCCTGGCAGGTATGCAATCCCGCAAGACTGCTGCGCATTCACAGTTACACCCGGTACATGCGCCGAAAATGAGCGTCTCAAATGGGACGTATATGCTTGAAAGCTTTACTATAGAATAAAATTTACTACCAGTTCGTGGATATTTTTTATAACATGATTGTAGACTTTTTGTAGAAAAGGTATACCGGCGGACTTGGGGGAGGGAGTGTTTCAAAACTAACTCGTTTAAAAATTTTATTTTTCAAAGCGAAAGTTATCGCTTAAAACGAGATACCTCACCTTCACTGCCTTAAAAATACTTGAATGATTTATTTTGTTTGGCCAAATAAACCTAAAGAATCAAAGGAAATGAGAAGAAGCGCGTCGTCCAAACAGATTAAATACCCAAGTAATCGGTTGGACCCCGGAAGACTGGGTAAATGGTACAAGTAGGGGATGGAAAGATACCAGACTGCCGAACCGAAGGAGAGGAGGGGAAGAGAGGGAAGGGGTTGGAGGACAGACCGACAGCCAGCAGCCAGCACAGCAGTCGCGGTATCGGAAAACAATATTTCCACGTTGTAATATCGTTTGAACGCAACTGGCTATTTTCTACTGAGAGATAGCGACGCGCGCATTACCGTAAATCAGCATCAGTCTCTCCGCTACGGTCCGCTATTCTCCCTCCTCTGCCCTCCGTCCGCGGATGAGAGGAGAAAGGAGGAGCGGAGAAGAGACGGGAATAGTGGTGGTGGTGGGGGGAGGGGGG